TCGAGGGACTGGGGGGGAGGAAGTGGAGTCCTGGGAGCCCTGGGCCCCTGGTGAATAGGTCTCTAGGTCTGCATGGACCCATCACCCCGTGAACACCTCTGTGCCTCCCCCGCCCCCTCCCCCGGCCGTGCTGTCATAGAAGGGCCACCACAGGCCCCTCATGGATTGCAGTCGCCCATGTCAGGAGAGGGGAGGGGGGAGGGTGGTGGCAGACTTCGGGCCGGCTGGGTAGTTGAAGGTGTGTGGTATAGTGGGAAGACTTGCCCACCCTCAGAAGGACCCGTTTTGGAACGTGGGCTGTCACCTACTCAGGAGAGCAGGATGGGGACCCCAGACTCTGGTGCCGCTGGAATCCCAAGCGCCGGGGGGAGCCATGAACGGCCAGCACGGGGTCACCTGCCCCAAGCTGGAGACAAAGGGGCGGGAGGAAGGGCTGCGACCCCTCAGAGGGGACCCCTGAGGACATTCCCAAAATGAAGGTGACACCACCATCGGGAGGGTGCTCGGGTGTGCACTGAGCACCCGCCCCTGCCCTTGGGTCCTCTGATCCTCGGGCCTCTGCCAGGCCCCTGGGTGTTCCCCGTCCCGAACACGAGGCCGCTGAGGCCCAGCTAGGTCAGGCGGCCTCCCAGCTCCTGCCACTCACCCCGAGTCTGCGGCCTCCCAGGTGGGGACCAGGATTCCGTGGCAGGGGCCCTAGGGGTTCTCTCCTGGACATCAGTCCCAGAGGTCGGCCGATTCTCCCTGACAGAGAGACGTCTGGGTGCGCAGACGTGATCAGACCAAGTCCAAATGCAAAGGCTGCTCAACACGGTTGAGCTGCTCCCAGTGGCCATGTACAGCCCACTCGTTCATCACTTTCTCCAGCATGTCCTGTGGCCCGTTTCTGTCTCCTGCCTGGGCCCCACCTTGGGGAGCCCCACTGTGTGTGTATTTCCTGTAGGGTGAAGGAGGGGCCCTCTGGGGGTCTCCCCAGCCTGGCCCTTTGCAGCCCTGTCTGCCTCCCTCCCTCAGGTGATCTGAGGTCCCCAGGTGCCTGCTCCGCAGGGCGGTGGATGGCCCCTATCCGCTGGGACTGGAGGGTGAGCAGTCAGGTGTCCCTTTCCACGCCATCCCAGGGGCCAGCCCCTCTGCCCCCAGCACTAATCTAATCAGGAAATAGCAGAGTCCACATTTCCCAGGGGTTATAAATAGCCACAGCAATGCAGGCAGCATCATTTCTCTGGAAAACGTGCCATGTCCCTCTACTCTGCACCCTCCCTTCTCTGTATTTAAATGACATCCTGAAATAGACTTGGCTTCTAGAGGCTGCTGGCCTCCTGGGAGACAGAGCGCCATTGTCGGGGCGCCGAGGGGCTGGGCAGGCCTCCCTGAGCGGGTACCAGGGTGCACCTGGAGAGGGGATCGGGAATGCGGCGGCGGTGGGAACTTGGGTGGTGGTGGGAACTTTCGGTAAAACTCATCTGGCCTCGGACAGGCTGGTGCGTGCAGAACAGCTGCAAATGGTGCCCGGCAGGCGGCGGAGGGCCAGGCCTTAGTGCAAGGGGCAGAGGGAACGGGAGGTTCCCGAGGCCTGGGGTTTCCCGGAAAGCTTTCTGGAGGAAGCAGGGCTAGCTCTGGGCCTTAGCATGAGTTGCTTTTCCTGTCTCCGCTGCTCCCAGGAAAATGTAGGGCTGCGACTTGGCAGCTAGAACAGAAGCCGTGGGGAGAGAAGTAACAGAAGGGTTGTACTGGCGGCGCCTGCCAGCACCAGGTCTGCCCCAGGTGCCAGTCCATGTGCCAGGAGCCCCGATGTCTCCCTTCTAAATAAATAACGGTAACAGCAGCCGTCGTCTTCGCCCAGAGGTGCCGGCGCCAGGCCAGGTGCTCTATCTTGCAGGGTTAGCAGAGCAGAGGAGTCCGAGAGACTTGACTTTGTCCCCCAGCTCTCGCTTTGTAGATGTGTGGCACTAGGCTGGCTCCTCGTCCTCTTTAAGCCTCCGTGTCCCCGTCTGTACAATGGGAGCACCTATCAAGGCTCACACCTCTGAGGCTTGTGATGATGGTTCATTGAGATGCTGCACAGAAAGGGTTTGGCGGAGTGCCAGACTCACCGGCGATGCTCCCAAGTCAGCATTTGCTGTTGCTGTTTCCCATAGCAACCCTCTGAGGTGCGTACGGACACCCCCCGCAAGGAAACTGAGGTTCAGAGAGGTAATGTGACTCGCCCCAATTCACACAGTTGAGAGAAGGACGAACATCTGGGCTCTCCGTCCCTACCCTTTCCCGCTCGGGCTGTGGCCAGATTCCACTGCAGGACCCATGGAGGGGCCCCTGGCTCAGTCCATGGCAGCTGTCGGGGGAGCTGGGGTGGCGCAGTGGCCTGAGGTGATTCTGGCCAGGTGCCGTGACCATGGAGTTGGGCTGAGGTTCATGCTGGTGCTTGGAGAGACCGTCGTTAAAAAGGTGGTCACTCCAGAATGTGTGCTCCAAGGCTAGCGTCTGCCTCTGCTGACAAAGAGCAGCTGGGGGCAGACCCAGGCCCCATGTCTGAGACCCAGCCTTCTGGCTGGGATGAAGGCTGGTGAGGGGTTGGGGCAAAACGAAGTTTCCAAGCAAGGGAGGCTTCAGGAAGGTGAGGCCGAACTCGGGGCTTCCTTTGGGACCCAGTAGGACCCCTGGCCCCAGGGCTTCCGGGGCAGAGAGCTGGGCAGCAGCCCCGCTGGTGCATCCCACACGCTTCCCTGTGTGTGGGGAGGGGTTGGGGGGGGACCGCCGGGGTGCTCGGTTCTCTCCACACCTCTCTCCTCTCTCCTGTTCTCAATTCTGTCCCTTCTTCGGGTAAGGAACTGACTGCTGAAGGCTGGGCCTGGACCAAAGCTGGCCCAGATGCAGACCCCAGACCCACCAGGTGCTTGGGTGCCTGTCCCTCGCTGGTGTGTGCATGATGGAAGGTTCAGGAAGGACTTCCCTCGAGCTGTAGGAAGCCCCAGGGCCCAGCGCACCCTGGCTTGACCCGGGTGGGTTTCCTCCGCGGTGAGGCCTGTTGAGCAGCGGGGGTCAGACCGTGCACATGTCCCTGGGGTGTGCAGGGACTCTCCAAGGGCGGCATGGCCGGGGGAGTTTCAAGGGAGTCAGTTTGCAGATCCTCAGCTCCCATCGGTGCTGTTGTCAAAAAGCGATCGTCTGGTGAAGGGCCTTTGACCATCACCTCTCTCTGCAGGGGAGCTCGAGGCTCGCTGGGGATGTGGCCGGGTCTGCCACCTCCGGGGTGCACAGCAGAGGGGCCACTTGGAATGCTGGGGCAGGTGTTGGAAAGATGAAAGGCTAATGGCTGGGTGATAGGTCCTGTCACCAGGCAGGTGGCTTCCCTTCGTTGTTTTTTACAACTGATGGAAATTGGCAGCTGAGCGGTTGTTTAAAATAAATTTTGACAATGGGTATATGTGCCATTTAAAGCAACCAACAGAGAAAGAAGTTAAATATTGCTTAACATTGCTACAATAAAACTACTCAGGCCTCATCTACTTCTTTATGTGAACAGGATGCTTTGTTCTTTACATCTTTCAAAACAAAAAAACCCCCAAAATGAACAGAATTGACGTTATGCCCTGTCTCACCCAAGCAAAACATACTATTCGTATACACACGTGAACTAACACAGAAAACACGCTCTCCCCATCTGCTTACGGGACGCCATTCCACCACAATGGCCCTTTGCTGCTGAACAGTTATTCCTGTTTCCAATGTGGTGGTTAATTTTTATTGTATGCTGCTAATTATTATAATAACTGACCCAGAATATGTTTTGAATATTTACAGCCTTGTGGTCTGAGGAAATCTTTCATTTCCATTTATACAGATATTTTTATTGAAGTGAAATAGAATAGGGTGACAAATAAAAGGCTTTCACATCAAAAAAATACAAACGAGGGCAAAACCCTTTGGGAAAAGAGACTGGAAACAGGCTCAGGAGGCGGAGGCGGCGGGGGCGTCGAGGGCAGGAAGGGCTGTGATGTCTTTGTACGCGGAGGGCGCTGGGTATCGAATCACATGCTATTTGGACTTCACGGGACGCATGTAAGAGAATGAGGTAACAGTTTTATTTTGAGATGTAAATATTTACATTACTTTGGAAATTCTATTCCTTGCAAGTATTTAAACTCGCCTTGGAAATATTCAGATGTTGATGTTAAAACGTGCCGGAGAGTGCATGGTGTTCAGATTTTGTGGGCGCACAAGGGAAGACAGTTTGAAGGCCACTGGGTCAGAGAAACGGAGTCCTGTCCCGTCCCCCAGAGGGAGGCCTCCGAGCCTCCCCTGTCACCCCCCCTCCCCGTCCCTGGGGCTCCTGCCTCACGTGGGGGCCGCCCCTGCTGAGAGGTTGGGGACCAGCCGCTTACCACAGGCATCTCACTGAGTCTTCAGAGCACCCAGCGAGGAAGGTTCTGTTACTGACTGCAGTGAACAGACGGAATAAATGCGGCTTCCTTAGCGAGGTTAGAACTTCCCAGGGCCATGCAGCTGCCAGCGGCAGAGCCAGGGTTCAGACCCAGCAGCCTGACTCCCGAGACGGGGCTTCACCTCTGTCTGCATCGCACCGCCTCCCCTTCAGCACCTCCACCACATGGGCTACATCCCCTCCTGTCAGGGGAGCAAACAGATTGCTCACTGTTGGTGAGCCTCAGTTTCTGCATCTGTGAAATGGGTGCTAATCCCATCTCACGGGGTGATGGTCAGGAGTGGATGAGAGGTGATGGGCAAAGGTACCTAACAGTGTGCCCTGCCTCCTTCACTGAGTGGGGGGTAGTCCTTCACTAACCAGGCCAGGGGCGGGGGGGGTGGGGCAGGGCTGGAGGCTGAAGCCACCCTGAAGGGTTGATTTCCGGATGAGCCTCAGGCCCCTCTCCTGCCTTCCTGACCATTTAACCAGCTTATGAGCAGTGGCTGAACAACAGAGAGATCTGGCTGGGTCTCTAGCTGTCATCTCTCTCTCACTTGTGTTCTTTCTTTCTTTACAGTTGGATCCACAAACCGTAGAAACCAAGAACTGGCACACAGATGTGATCGAGATGAACGGGGTGAGCTGGAGAGAGAGGACATGTCTGCACAGTGGGTGGGCAGCCCGGCCTCTGGCTGGTGTCCTCCGGGTGCTATCCTGCCCCTCAGCCCAGCCCCTCTCCCTTCTCCCCCTACACCCTTCCCTCTCCCACCCTACCAGTGTGTCAGGAGCCTTGGGTGCAAGAGGTGGGCTTTGTTTACAGTCCCGGCGAGGGGTCCCTAGGTTTCGGGGCACTCCTCGGGCACTCACGCCCTGCCTCACCCCCAAGCAGATCAAAGTGGAATTCTCCATGAAGTTCACCAGCCGAGACATGAGCCTGAAGAGGACGCCATCCAAAAAGCAGACCGGCGTCTTTGGCGTGAAGATCAGCGTGGTGACGAAGTAGGTGCTGCCTCCGTCGGGTGCGAGTGCTGCGTCAGTGCCCAGGGCCCCTGCCAGCCCTGCCTGCCCTCGCCTGGCCCCTGAGCAGTCGCCCTCCAGTTCAGTAGTCACAATGGCAAGTTCGGAAGCCAAAAGCGGCCCGCAGAGGGGTATCTCTGCCGCACATGCTGCTTTAGAAATACGCGAGCCAGCATTGAAACAGCGGGGCGCTGCCTGGGAAAACGCCAGGTCGGCAGCCTCTCGTAATAAATGGGAAGATTTCAACTGGGCAGGGGCTGGCTGGACTCCAAGGAGTAGCCGCCCCTCAGCTCGCCACCATCCACGTCTCCAGGGCCCCACCCGCCTCCCGTGGATGGTTACCTGCTGGGTCTTCCATAGCATGAGAGTCTGAGCCCTGTTCTAAGGACCATTCCCTCCTCAGCCTTGGAGCTTACCTCCCAGCTTCCCCCTTTGTCCTGCTGTCCCTCAGCAGGCGGGCCTTGGGTGGGCTGTGTGGGCAGCGTGGCATGGCCTCTTTCTCAGCCCTGTCCCTGCCCCCACCTCCTGATTCCAGAGGCCTGAGCTCTCCAAGGCCAAGTATTTGGGGAGGGGTCTGTGTAGCCATCCCTGGGGCCTCCCTCCACCTCCCTCCCTTCTCCTCCCCCAGGCGGGAGCGCTCCAAGGTGCCCTACATCGTGCGGCAGTGCGTGGAGGAGGTGGAGAAGAGGGGCATCGAGGAGGTCGGCATCTACCGGATCTCAGGGGTGGCCACAGACATCCAGGCGCTGAAGGCCGTCTTCGATGCCAGTGAGTCGGAGGCCCAGTGGGAGGTGGTGGGGAGATTGCGCTCCAGCAGGCGCACAGCGGGCAGGAGAGCCCAGTGGGAGGCGCGGGGAGATGGTGCTCCAGCAGGCGCACAGCGGACAGGAGAGCCCAGTGGAGGCGGTGGGGTGATGGCGCTCCAGCAGGCGCACAGCGGGCAGGAGAGCCCAGTGGGAGGCGGTGGGGAGATGGTGCTCCAGCAGGCGCACAGCGGACAGGAGAGCCCAGTGGGAGGCGGTGGGGAGATGGTGCTCCAGCAGGCGCAGAGCGGACAGGAGAGCCCAGTGGGAGGAGGCGGGGAGATGGTGCTCCAGCAGGCGCACAGCGGGCAGGAGAGCCCAGTGGAGGCGCGGGGTGATGGCGCTCCAGCAGGCGCAGAGCGGACAGGAGAGCCCAGTGGGAGGAGGCGGGGAGATGGTGCTCCAGCAGGCACACAGCGGGCAGGAGAGCCCAGTGGGAGGCGCGGGGTGATGGCGCTCCAGCAGGCGCACAGCGGGCAGGAGAGCCCAGTGGGAGGCGGCGGGGAGATGGTGCTCCAGCAGGCGCAGAGCGGGCAGGAGAGCCCAGTGGGAGGCGCGGGGAGATGGTGCTCCAGCAGGCACAGAGCGGACAGGAGAGCCCAGTGGGAGGAGGCGGGGAGATGGTGCTCCAGCAGGCGCAGAGCGGACAGGAGAGCCCAGTGGGAGGAGGCGGGGAGATGGTGCTCCAGCAGG